GTGCAGGCCGGTTCCTAACAGGCCAGGGACCTGTACCAGTCTGTGGCCTGGGGATTGGGACCCCGCTCTAGCTAACAGCAATCTTGAGCCCCTTTCCCCAGCTTCCCAGACCTTGAGTACTGGGTTTCCAGTTCTGAGAAAGCAGAGACTAAGCCCAAATCTCCATGGGCTCTAGAAGAAACGCTTCTCCAGGCAAGGGAGGGGAATGTCCGCATCCTTCAGAGAGGCTCGTCCTGAACTTCCTGCCAGTGCTGGGCCTGCTGCCACACGTGCGACTCACCGGTGCCAGCACCCCACCCTCTCTTGGATGAGAAGAGGCGCTTGCATTTTGAAAAAGCTGCCTCTACTTATGAAGTGTCATTTCCTTTCAAGTCACTGACTTGAACCTGAGCTTCTAGTGCTGCCTGCTGCTTTGAATGAACTGCTGTGCTCCGATGCTACAAGCTTCAAGATGACCTTGGTTCCTGACTCCTCACTGGGGCCTTAGGAGGAAAAGAGTTCCCTTTATAGCCCCTGAGGGTGGGCGTCCTCATCGCTTTTGTGGAACACAGGCTTCTGGAAGTGGATGCTGCCTGCGGTGTTTGCTTGTGGCCTGCAGCTTCGGGATCCACCACAGAGAGGAGGAGGCGAGCTCAGCACAGCTGCTGAGACCCAAAGTGCCTCAGTGACTGATCTCAACAAACAAGGATTAGGTCTGGATCTGAACCATAGACCAAACCCGTAAGGGGGAGGTGCCGCGACGGATGGCTATGCCGCGACGGATGGCTATGTAGCCATCATTTCCACGACGGGATGGCTACGTAGCACCATTTTTCAAGATGACTGGGAGAAGCATCTCAGACAGGCACAACATGAGAGGGCCACAGAATGACTTTCATGAGTTCTTGTTAAAGGGCAGCCAAGACATTAGCAACTAGCTGTTGTTTAGAAACAGTGTTTAGAAACACCGAGTTGGCAAATAAGCAAACAGGCCATATGACCCATTAAAGGAATTCTTCCTCCACATGGAGTAGCAGTTATAAATGAAGGTAAATGCTTCAGGGCTTGCAGGAGCCCTGCGTGAAAGGTGTGGTTTCTAAGAGTCCGTGCCCTTTGCAAGGCAACATCTAAGGGAACCAGAAATTCTATTTTTGAGAGAAGTGGGTCGCGGTTAGAATCCGAGTCTCGAAAGGCTGCGGTCCTTCAGATGAGCTGGGACATAACACCCTTTAGCCGAAGCTCGGTTCACCCCGACAGATCCTTGTGGCAATTCTTCTGGGGGCCAACTCCTGTGGGATGTGCCTGAAACACTGGGTTTTGGCCTGAGAAGTCATTTCAATGCTTCTGCCTATTTTTTCTTATCCATTAAATGGGAAGACTCCTAGCACCTTGGTGCCCAAGAGTGGTAAGGAACAGCAAATGACTGTACCGAATAAAGAAGATTTGCAAATGCACTGTCAAAATGCTCAAACGAGGGCAGGGTTCCCTAGATGTGGAGGCTCTCAAAAATTAGAGCGTAATTTGTGCAGCCTGTCAGTGCAGAACTGATGAGGGGCTGGATCCCTTGGTGGTCTCCCTGCCTTTCCTGCATGCTTTTCTGAATGGTGCCACTGTTTAGGGCCGACTTATGGCACCTGGACTGGCCGGCAAGCCTGTGCCGTGCAATGTGCCTGTGCCATGTAATGGCTGAGGTTGGAAACCTGCTCCACGTCTCTTGCATCTTCAAGGGCAATATCATTTGCAAAGTCAGACCCATTCAGCGCACATGGAGGGTGCCTGTGGGAATGCCTGGGATGGGTAATGAATCCAAACTCACTTTCTGGCTTTGCTCACATGACAAATAGCCTGGTAAAATGATGAAGAGGAATGAAGACAGGCTACAGCCCCTCTGTGCACATTCCAGTGAATTTCCCAGAGCAAGCACAAGTAACGCAGGTTCCAAGCACAGAGTTGTCTGGGGAGACAAATGGAGAGGTAGTGGGGTGTCTGTGTTTTGGGGGTAGGGGAAGGAAGAGAAGATGGAATTTGGTTTTCTATCTTTGTTTCTATTTTTCTTCCCCCGTAAGTGAGCAGGAGGAGTAACAGGAAACCGCAAGGGCAGGAAACTTCCGTTCTCTAAGGAACCCATTGCAAAGACAAGGTGTGACACCCTGAGGGTGTTTAGTATGCTGACAAAATGCTGCATAATGTGGCTTCAGAGCGCTGATGGAACTGATACCAGAAATCTGGGCCTTCCTGCTGTGCTGGGCTCCCCTGCCGTGTGGAGCAAAGGCAGCTCCTTTAGAGAGCTTGATGAGAAGGGGGCGTGGGTCTGCAGCTCTGAACTGTCAAGGCCTCTGAAGCTGTGAAAAGGGAGGCAGTTTGATCCCGCCACCCACTGGCCGGGTGATTTGAGTAAATCTTCACCTTATCTTTCTGTACCTCAAAAGAAGACAGTTTCTAGTTGATGAATCACTTTGTAAATGTAAATTTGCAGATGCTAAATACTGAATCTAGGCTGTGGCCCAGATTCAGAGAAAACATGACAGCAAGGGTCTTTTTAAGATCACGCACAGTAAAGGGCATTAAGGACACTGAGGGGTGGCAGAACAAATGCACCGGCCAATGGATGTTTCGGGGAGGACAGTGCTGGCTGGACAGCCAGGCCACCATGTTTCCGGCACCAGGCAACCCAGCAAGGTCTCGATGAGGTGTGTTAGGCAGGGCAGGGCAAGGACAGCTGGTGAGTCTATACTCACGCCATCAATAGCTCAACCAGGCCACGGGACAGCTCCAGGACTGGGTCTTGTGCTGACGCCGCATGGATGCTAGTCTGTGCTTGAGACCCAGAAACACTTTAATGATCACTCTCTCGGTGCCACAATAGAAGGAAGGGGACTCCTGGAATGAAGGCAGGCAGCTGTCTGCAGGGACTGGTGAGTGGAGGTGTCTCCCAGGAGCGCAGGCGGCCCGGTGGTAGGGCCAGCATGTTAAAAATATGCTTAATTAACAAGAGGCTTGAACAATTCATACAAATTTTTTCTTTTTTCTTTTTTCTTTTTTTTTTTGAGACAGGGTCTCACTCTGTTGCCCAGGCTGGTACAGTAGCATGATCTCAACTCACTGCAGCCTTTGCCTCCTGGGCTCAATTGACCCTTCCACTTCAGCCTCCCAAGCAGCTGGGACTACAGGCATGCAACACCATGCCTGGCTGATTTTTGTATTTTTGTAGAGACAGGTTTTTGCCATGTGGCCCAGGCGGGTCTCGAACTACTGGGCTCAAGCAATCCTCCCGCCTCAGCCTCCCAAAGTGCTGGAAATACAGGTGTGAGCCACTACGCTGGGCCATAAAAACAATTTTTAATGTTTCCCTACTCATTTATAACAAAACTCAACTCTAACTAAGTTACTTTAAATTAAAAATAGTTTCATGTTTACATGCATCTATGTTCTCATCAATTCAACAACTATTTATAGAAATCATAAAAGCATGTCGCCCTGCAGAAACAGTGGAAAATCTTTAAGTAAAATATGTAATCGATGACCTCCTAACAAGGTACAATTTGGAATTTTATTTACGCCATGATCTATGAAGTTATGACATTAACAGGCGTGATTCTCATTTTATGGAAACCAGTGAGGGCCAGCAAATCTTCCCTTCATCTCCAACTCCAACGGTTGCCCTCCCCTGCCCTTTCTCCCCACCCATTGAATTTATTCAACTACAGAAATGACATCAAATGAAACTCTAATTCTTCAACTTAAAAATTTTTTCCCTATAGAAAAGTGTTGTTACAAGAGCTGGGAAAACCATTTCTGGGTTTATCCAACTAGGATTCCAAATTTCTAGAAATGAGATGGACAGGATCGTAACCACCATTTAAGCTCCTAAAGTCGGTCCATAGGGTTGAGGGAAAGAAAAACTCCAGCACTCATCCTGAATCTCGGTCATTATGGAATACACTGCTCGACTTTTTCCTCCCACACAAGTAACTTAGGTTTTGTAGGATTTTTACAGATAAAACCATGAATCCACATACAGTTAGTTAATCCTCATGGCAACCTTGTAAGGTCAGTGTTTTTTTCCCTTTAAATAGGTGAGGATAGGCTTGACCAGATAGGTGTTACCAGCCTTTCATCATAGGTTATTGGCCATAGTGTCCTAAATTCTACAATAAACTTTTATACATGTTTTATCATTTTGAGCCTCAAATTTCTGTGATGTAAGTAACATGTATAACTTTAGCCCTCATTTTAGGAAGAATGAAGGTTCATGCAGCTAGTAAGAGGCTCAGCTGGGCCTTGGCAGAAGCCCGGACAGCCAGTCCATGGCCCGCCACCACACGGTCCAATGAGAACGCTTAGTTGGGATGATGGTGGTGGAGTGGCTTTGTCTCTGCCAGACATAGGAGCGACTGTAATTTAATTGTCTTGGAGCAGCAATAAAGAGACAGGAAGGATCCTGGAAGTGACTAAACATTTGCATGGGAAGGCGGTGCTAATTCTCCCAGCTTTCTAAACTCCCTAGATGGGGCTGCCAGATAAAATACATGACACCAGGAGTGTCCCACACAATGTTGGGGTGCATACGTATAATACAACCTTATTTGTTGGTTATCTGAAATTCGAATTTGCCTGGATATCCTATATGTTTTTGGTTGAGTCTGGTGGCCCTACCCCTAAGGGTAAGCCAGTCTTCCACCCTCATTCTCATCACTATGAAACAGGCGCATCTTTCTCATGGTGACAATGGCCCACCCCCTTCAGTTGCGAGTGGAGAACGCGACTGAGATAATTTCCTATTTTCCTCTAATTTGAGTAGCCTCAAGTTAGAACTGGAATAAATTTAAGTATTTCCAAAAGTTTTGAATTTGGGAGATCATGCATTACACAACTGTTAGCTAAGGCTGGTCTCTGGTACTGAACTTAGAATGGGGTCCAGGCTGTCCTTCTGTGGCACACCTCTCCCCAGATGGCACTGAGCCAAGCGTCCCACACCATGCTTACCCCCACCGCATTCTTTGAGTAGAAGAGTCACTTACTTGTATGGAATGTGTTTGCTGCCATTGACGAGAGCCAGGATGACATTGCCCAGAGCAGACAGCGAGAGGCACAGTCCCGAGCCTCCTTCTCGATTTTTGCTAAGAGCTTTCACACAGCTGCCGAGATCAATGAGATGCAGGCGGCTGCGACCTCCAGACACTGCCACATAAGAGAAGATGAAAGAGAAATGGTTAAGTTCTGACAAACACTCATCTGTTCTTCATGTAGCTCCTTGGGAAACCTGAGGAAAAATGAAAAGGGGGAGTAAAAGGTTGAAGTTCACGACCTACTAGGAAACCCCAGCAAAATCATGCTGGGGTTGCAAATAGCATTGGTCCTCTTAAATTCTTTTCACCACACATCACTGACCTTCTAAAGTCTACTGACAGTCACACTACAGATAAATGAATTCAAATAATTCTTGCAGGTTGAACTGAATGAGATTTTGGAGAAAATAAATGTCTAATTATAGGAGGCTACATTTCTACCTAAATGCCATTTGAACAGCAGAATTCTGAAACTCATCAAGTTAAAACCTGAATGGCTCACGAGTGATTACCAGCTTTGGTTGATCATTATACAGAACCCAACCTAAAGCTCAGCCAGTCAGGTTGCAAACCAAAGGCAAAAATCAGGAAGAAATAACAACCAGGTGCAGAGACAGGGAAGATCCAAATATTTGCTGAGTATCTGCCAAGTGCCAGGTGCTGTACAAACATCAGCCTCATTCAATTCCCATGATAAGATCATAAGCTACATACTATTATCCTTTCTGTATTGATGAGAAAATAACAGTTCAGAAAAGTGAAGTAACTTGCCCATGAGTACTTCTGCTGCCGAAGTACAGGGAGACCAAGGTGGCAACAATTTACAAGACAGAGTGCAGCAGAGGAAAGAACTCTAGAGATCTGCAGAAGGTCCGTCAAGGGTTCAGCTGAGTGCTGGTCAGCACATCTGATATAGTTTGGATGTGTGTGTGCTCCAAATCTCATGTGGAAATGTGATCCTCAATGGTGGAGATGGGTTGTCCACCCCCATGACCTGAACACCTCCCAGCAGGTTCCAGCACTGAGAATCACAGGCCTGGTGCTGAAATGTGATCCTCAGTGTTGGAGATGGGGCCTGGTGGGAGGTGTTTGGGTCTTGGGGGTGGAACCCTCGTGAACAGCTTAGTGCCCTTCCCATGGTAATGAGTGAGTTCTTGCTCTTTAACTTCATGCAAAAGCTAGTTGTTTAAAAGAGGCTGGCACCTGCCCCCTTCTCTCTCCTGCTCTCTCCTGCCGTGTGACATGCCGGCTCTCCTTTCACCTTCCACCATCATCGTCAGCATCCTGAGGCCTCACCAGAAGCAGATGCTGGGGCCATGCTTCTTATATAGCTTGCAGAACTGTGAGCAGAATAAGCCTCTTTATAAATCACCCAGCCTCAGGTATCCTGTTACAGCAATGCAAAAGGGACTAACACAACATTCATGTGAGAAAACTATTCAAGGCTCAGAAATTAACCACTTAAGAAGATTGGAGATCGTTTAATTTTACATATATTATTCACAAAGCCAGGAATCGTGCCACTTCCTAATAGCCAGCCTGGAAAACTTCACGATTCACGGGGCATCAGGTTGAACACCCAGAAGTATTTTCCATACTTAGCCACAGACTGAGCACTGACCTGATCCCATCTAACACATATTAAAAGCAAAACAAAAAAATGATCAAACTGTTTCCAAGTAACACAACTGCATTCTAAAACAAAGCTTAAGAATATTTACAAAGTAAAGACTCGGGAAAATGAAACCCATAATGAAGAGATCATTGAAACCAACTTAGAATTAGCATAGATGTTAGAATTGACAGAAGCAGCTATTTATTAAAACAGTTATTTCATCTGTATTTCAGACGTTCAAAAAGTTAAGTAGAAACATGGAATATGTATTTAAAAAGACACAAAACTATCGAGACCATCCTGGCTAACACAGTGAAACCTGTCTCTACTAAAAATAAAAAAAATTAGCTGGGTGTGGTGGTATGTGCCTGTAGTCCCAGCTACTTGGGAAGCTGAGGCAGGAGAATGGTGTGAACCCGGGAGGCGGAGCTTGCAGTGAGCAGAGATTGTGCCACTGCACAATTTGCTCTGCCTAGGCGGCAGAGCAAGACTCCGTCTCAAAAAAAAAAAAAAAAAAAAAGACACAAAACTGAACCTCTAGAGATAAAAACTACAATGTGTGAGATAAAAAAATACTAGATGAGATGAATGGCAGAGTAGATATTGCAGAATTAAAAATCAGCAAATTTGAAGATCTAGCAATAAAACTATTCAGAATAAAATATACAGGGGAAAAACAACAACAAATAAAAAACAGGAAAAAAGCTGTAGGACAACTTCAAGTGTCTGCTATGTGTTATTGGGGTCCCGAAAGGAGAAGACACAGAGTGTGCTACAAATAAAACATTTGAGAAAAATAATGGCTAAAAATTCCCCACATTTAATGAATCATAAACCCATGTATCCAAGAAGCTAAGTGAGCCCCAAGCACGAATGAAGAAACTATATCAAGGCATATCATAACCAAACTGCCCAAAACCAGTGATATAAAGAAAAATCTTGAAAAGAGCCAGAGGGAAAAAAGCACATTACATATAAAGGAACAAAGATAAGGATGATGGCAGATTTCTCATTGGAAATAATACAGGTGAGAAGACAGTGGAGCAATGTTTTTAAAATACTAAAAACTGTCAGGTTAGAAATATACACCCAGCAAAAGTGTCATTCCAAAACAAAAGGGAAATAAAGATATTTTTAGACTTAAAAATCCTAAAAGAATTCACCATAAGCAAAAACACCAGGAATACAGACGAAGGAAGGAAGAGCTTTGGAAATGATAACCACATGGGTAAATATGTAATTTTTATTACTTTAAATCTCTTTGAAAGATTATTATTAAAACAAAAATCACCATGTAATGTGTGAGTAACATGTAAAATTAAAATATATGATAGCAATAACACAAAAGTCAGAGGGGAGAAATGGAAGTATACTATTGTAAGGTTTTTATGCCTTATATAAGTGGTATATCACTTTAAATTAAATTGTGGTAACTTAAACATGTATGTTACAAACACTAAAGCAATAATTAAACAATAAAAGTAATAGCTAATAAACCCACAAAAGATAGAAATTAGAATGTTTAATAAATAAATCCAAAAGAAGGCAGAAAAAAAAGAGCACAAAGATCAGATGGGACAAACAGAAAACAGAAAAGTAATATTTTGAACCAAACTATATCAATAATCACAGGAAATTGAAATAGTCTAAAATACCCTTATTAAAAGGCAAAAATCGTCAGATTGGATAAAAAAGTGAGGCACTACTATATGCTTCCTATGAGAAATGCACTTCAAATAGAAATAAACAATAGTTTAAACGTGTGAGTGTGGATAAGGCAAACAGTAACCAGGAGAGTTGGAATCTACCAGTATTAGACAAAAGAGACTGAAGACAAAGACCCATCCCATTTGTGCGAAGACCTGCGGGGAGGCATGTCCAGCACCTCCTGCTGCAGTCATGGAACTATCCTATTGATGCAGTGTCCTCCTGGGAAAGACACACCTTCAGATACAAGACTGGGCTCTCTAGCTTTTGTCCCACAGCAGATCCCAAGGGGGCCCAGTCACAGCTCCAGACCCTCCCTCTGCCATCAGATAACTATTCTATCTGTACAGGAACTTGCTGGGTGACACACACCCCTCTGAGCTGAGACTGAGCCCTTCAGTATCTGTCCCACAGCAGATCCCAAGGGGGCCCAGTCACAGCTCCAGACCCTCCCTCTGCCGTCAGATAACTATTCTATCTGTACAGGAACTTGCTGGGGGACACACACCCCTCTGAGCTGAGACTGAGCCCTTCAGTATCTGTCCCACAGCAGATCCCAAGGGGGCCCAGATTCTGCTCTAGCTCCTCCTGCTGATAGTTGGGGAACTATCCTATCTATGCAGGGATTTACTAGAAGATGCATGCCCATTTGAGCCAATGTTGCAGGTATGCCAGCCTCCATGCTTTTTTTTTGAGACGGAATCTCACTCTGTCCCCCAGGCTGGAGTGCAGTGGTGCAATCTCGGCTCACCGCAAGCTCTGCCTCCCGGGTTCACGCCATTCTCCTGCCTCAGCCTCCTGTGTGGCTGGGACTACAGGCTCCTGGCCAGCCTCCATCTTATAGTAGATGGTGAGGAGGCCCGGTCTTGGCGTTAGCTCCTCCTGTTGTGGGTAAGAAACTACTCCACTTGTGCAGAGACTTGCTGAGTAACACATGCCTGTCTCAGCCAATGAGAAAGGCCCATCAGCCTCCTCCTCACAGCAGATCCTGAAGGGGTCTAGTCTCAACTTCTGCCTCTCTTGCTATAGTTGGGGACCCAGCCTACCTGTGCAGAGGCCTGCGGGGAAGTACACTGGTCTGGGACACGCCTGTGCAGAGGCCTGCTGGGGAGTATCCTGGTCTGGGACACACCTGTGCAGAGGCCTGCTGGGGAGTATCCTGGTCTGGGACACACCTGTGCAGAGGCCTGCAGGGAAGTACACTGGTCTGGGACACTAGGACAGTCTTCAAGATTCAGGTCCCTGGCGGCCAGTGTTCCCACATAACACAAGTCCTGTCCTTGGATCTTCCCCAGGTCCGTTTGGCCCAGAAAGCCATTGTGAGACTCACAGCAAGCCTGGGAATAGAGTATCCTCTAGTGCTGAGATGACTGTGGTGATCACAGATAGGGAACATAATAGTCAGTGGGCTTAGAATCCCTGGAAGACCCTCTGAAGAGGTGCAGGCACAAACAAAGCCAGACTAGGAAGACTAAAATATTTAATCTCTCAATGTGTAGCTATCATCATACTTCAAGCATCAAGAACATTCAGGGAAATACGATGTCAAAGGGACAAAGTAAGGCACCAAGACTGGCCCTAAAGTGATGAAAATGTGTGATCTCTCAAACAAATAATTAAAAACAGTAGTTTTAAGGAAGCTCAGTGAACCTCAAGAAAGCTCAGAGAAACGTCTCAGAGAAAGTTCAGAGAAAAATTTAAAAAATAAATAGAAATCCTGGAGGTAAAAAATTCAATAAATGAAATGAAAAATGCAATAGAGCATAGCAGAGGAATTGATCAAAAAGAAG